TGCATGTCTGCTTCTGTCACCTCTGTGGCTGGACACATTCCTTTAGTGCTGTAGTAGTGGTGTTGCAACTTATGTCCATGTGACATATGAAGTCTTCCAACAGGATGAAGCATATCTGCAATGTGCCTTCTAACCTGAACATCCCACTCCAGTGTCAAACAAGCTGATGTGAAGTAGTTCATGTGACAGGACTGTCCTGATTTAAGACCAAAAGACTGTCTTAAGGCTTCAAGTTCTCTGTAGTAACACAGAGCCTGGTAGCAGCATCAGGACTGAAAGCTTTAGAAACAATGTGTGTTACATCTGGTTCTACAAAAGCAACCCTTGAGTCCTGTTGTGCGCTTAGGTTAGGCTCTAGATACAGCTTGACCTGAATTAACCACTCCCTGATACTTCCTTCAGGATTTCAGCAGGTTGCTTTTTGAGGGGAAGAGGTTGGGAGGAGCTGTGTTTTGGCTTGTTGAGCAACTATATAAGTTCCAGAGCTGTTGGAAGGTCTGTGTGGTGAGGATGAGAGGGCAGGGTTGGAGGAAGAGTAAGTGTAAGGCTGTCCCCAACTGGCAGCAGTAAGCTTTTGCTTGAGCTCAAGCCTTACTTGGAACTGCACCCTTAAACTAAGTGTTTTCTTGGCACAGCCAAGGACAAGGCATGGACATGATGATCAACAGCTCTTCAGATGACTTCTGTTTGAAACTAGGTAATGCCTGAGGCGTTCTTTCTTGTAGGTCTTCTGAACTGCCTTTATCCAAGAGTTGTGGATGTGAAAGGGATGGTTACCTCAGGCTGATAGTTCAAAATGGTTTTATTTAAAATAGAATTTTGTGGAATATCCTGCATTATCTGGGAAAGCTACTTGTGATCTAAATTCATCTTCTGTCCTAGGCAGGAGGAGCAAAAAATAACTGTACATTATGGTCTGTCCTAAAATGCAGGGGTGTGGTATAGCAAATCTATTGCAGATTAATTGAAGCCCAGCCTGTGTATTCTACCACGTGACAAAATTTGTAGCTGGGAGTTGTGGGATGTTCTCGTTCAGCAGTCTTAGGTTGTTCTCTCTTGGGTTTAGGTTTTTATCAGGGTGGTGGTGGTTGGAAAAAAAATCTCCATGTTCAAGTGTCTTTTATGTGAATGTTGTCTCTTCATGGCTCTCCCTGTGAGGGTCTGTCTCTCAGGTGTTTCGTGTCTGATGTGTCTCCATGTTTCTTTAGGGTCTCTCTTGTCTGTTGCTCCTCAGTGGACTTTCCAGAACTGTTCTACTTCTGCCCTGAAATGAACTTCATACTGGCTTTTTTCAAATACTGACTTTTGTGGACATTTAAAGTAGCTCCCTAAGGATCTGCTTTTCCACAGTGGTCACTCTACAAACTATTGAGTTTGCTTAACAAACTATGCTAGCTCTACTTTCATCCCAGAATATATGCTGAATGCAAAATACAGCATTGTAAACAGTTGCTACATTCAAATGACAGACGTGCTTGTGATAATACTGAAAGGTTAAACAACGAACCCCTTCCGGGAAGGTAAGATTGTTGCAGGGTGAAAAAAGCTTGCAGTACTTGCAGGTAGGGGAAGACCACATGCAGTTGTGCATCTTAAATCTACTAGAAAGAAAGGCAGCTACAGGAACCGTGTATGGGGGCTTGGTTCTCCCAGTCTCTACCCAATCTCAGAGTGGATCTAAAAGCTTCCAAGCCACAAGCGAGAAAATGCACACCAAGAGGCAAAATGCCTTAATTATGGTCAGAAAAATGACTGTCAAGCATGGCTTTATCTCTGTTTCATGATGTTTCCTCTTGTTAGGCAGAACACATTAGTGTGTTGTTTTTGTTTGTTTGTTTGTTTTCTCAGAATTATGAGGATCAGTTGGCAGTAAATAGCTCCTGTGGTGACTCAACCTGTTCTGTTAAGGGAAGGAGAGCATTACTGAGCCCAAAGGAGGGGTATTGCAAATGTTCTGACAAGGAAAGAGAATACTTATGCATTGGCACCTTCAATGCAAGTCCCTGAACTTTCTTGGAGTGAGATGAGGAGTGGGTATAGGCCTCTCTAAACTTCATCAGTATTTCTTATCTATAATTGCATTTTAAAGTTCAACCTGAGGGTTATGTTTGAGAGGGATTACTAAGAACTTCTGCCTACTAATGTCTGATCTAATTCCCCTGAACTGAATCAAGAAAGTGACAGACTAGACTGTTCCAGCCTTTAATCAGTTGATTTTATGGCTTGTTTTTTCTTCAAAGAAAAGCTCAAGTTTTCTTTCCAGCATCTCTAACTTCCAGGAATGGGGTGGTAGGGAGCAAAAAATTTAGTCTATCTACATCTCTTGTCCCCTGCTATCTGCTCCATAATTAAAGCTGTTTCCATGGTGACTTATGTGTTTTGTAGGTTAGTCTCAGTGTTAGTCTTCAGTCACTTTTGTCACTTTGTGGTGTTGGCTGTTGTCTCCTCCTCCAGATGACATGGGCAATTGCAGACTGTTGCCAAAATGTTATCAAAGTTTAATCTAAAAAATGTTTTATTTGGTGACTAGGATTTCTGTGTTTACCAAGGTAGACTTTTCTTCCAATGGTTAAATAGATTCCTGAAAGTAAAGGTAGCACAAAGCAAAGTCAGTGGGTGAGTTGATGCTGCAGCATTTGTGCTAACTGGCCAACTTCACATAGAGTACAGGTTTTTGGAAAAGAGCACAAATAAGCATCTAGGTCAGAGGGGAAAACCAGAACCTATCCTCCCTCTCAGGAAGTAGTGAGTATCTTCAGACCCACTCCTCCAAAAGGAGCTATCAAACATTGGGACTTCTGTAACACTCCAGCTTGTCTGCATCTCTCTGCTTCATCTGAAACAAGAGGAAGCTTTGCAATAATGTTCTATTGTAAAGTTGCTGAGTTTGTAACTCTGAGGCGCATTGTTTAAATTCATGTTTCCAAAATAAAAAGGGTTTAAACTGATACTATAAAAAGTGCTGACTGACTTTTATTTGCCAAACTGTCCATACAGCTTTTCTGTTATGCACTGCAATCTGCAAGCCTCAACTTCACCAGTGCACAGTTTCGATTTTGAGCAGACTCCCCTTCCTGCACTAGATAACACCACAAAATTGCTCCAAGCTTTCTTATCTCTATATAGTCTGCTGCGTTCCCATCATGCTATCTAGTTGCAAGACCTAAGTTGCTTTACCAATGTTGTTTTACCCATTGGTAATCTCTCAAAACACTTGTGTTGCATGTAACTTCTAATGTAATGGTGATGGCTTGTGTTCTCTGGCTTCTGGAGTTGTGTTTCCGTGGAAGTGCTTAGCTGGTGGGGTGCCATTCCTTATGGTGCTAGTCCTACGTTTCTGGCATGATGGAGAGCTTGCTCTGTTCTCTCACAATGACCAGGGAGCTGCTCCTTTGGGTTGTTCTTGTTTATTAGACAGGAGAGAGCGAGCTCTGGCTAAAAGAACTGAATTTTACAACCTGCAGGGTGAGAAGGCTGGACTTGGGTTGCTTTTTGTGCTTTGGATTCTTTTCTTCACTAAAACACTAGAGTATAGCAGAGATGGTAGCCCAGCAGTGTTAGCTGTCTGGTCTTAACAGGGGTGGCTGTGGGAGGGGGGTGCCTGACTGAAGAGTCTGTCTGTGGTCCTGTCTGGTGTGGTTTGCTGTATAACCTGCCCTTTAACCTTAGCTTGGGTTATAAAAAAACCCAACCAACCTCTCTCTGCATCATCAGCTAAAAAGTAGAGGCCTAAGCTGATACAAGGGATGTTTGACAGCAGGTGCTGTTGGAGCACGGGTGCACTAGTGGCACTGTCCAGCCAGCCCTGGGCCGGCTGTGGAAGTCAAACGGCTGCTTCCCTCCAGCGAGGCTGCCCGTGGGGTCGGGGCAGGAGAGCAGGGCCGCCCTGGGCCTCCGGGGCGGGGAAGGTGCCAGATGAGGCCGTTGCGGCGCTACCAGGGCTGGGTAAGGAAGGACCGTTACGGGCAAGGGGATGACATGGAGGTGGCTCCTTCCCTCAGGGCGGAGGCGGCGGCCGCTGAGAAGCCGGGGAGGGGCTGCGCTGAGGCGCGAGCGGCCCTGCCTACCCTCAGCCAGACCGGACCGAGGGCTGCCTCGCCCGCCTCCCTTCCAGTCGGCCCCAGGCCCTCCTCGCAGGGAGACTGGCTGGAGCGGGGGGGGGGGGGAGGGGGGCGCGCTGTGGCC